AATGCTTTGAAAAATATTAGATCCTTAACCCTATTGTTGGGCACACCAGTACGGAGTGGTACCCTATGCCTGCCCAGAGCATTAAGGACATGTCACCGAGCCAATCGCTGACTTGTGTTGGCACGTGGCAGCAACCCATAGTCAAGTTTTTACAAAAAAGTCAAAGTCAAAAATATATCTTTCCAATAATATGAAACGGCAACTCCCGGCTCACGTTAGATAAATCCGCTGGTTTTAACTACAATAAGCCGTGCTGGTTTTAACCCATTGATAAAAAACCGTTAAGGCTAGAGTGGCAATATACAGGCGGCGTACGTTAGAGAGTGGCCATTGTCTAAATACAGAAAGCAACTAATGAGAAGCACGAAAGTACGTACCTGATCCTGAGACGGTCCAGGGGCGCCGGACTCGAGGCTCGGCGCAGGGGCTCCTACTGGTGGAGAGGGTGGGCCCGGAGCAAGTGCTGTCGGAGACGGCGCCAAAGACGGAGACTTCGCGGCGGGAGCAGGAGCTGGAACCAGAGCTGGTGGAGATGCAAGCGGAGCCGGCGGTGGAACGGCAGGAGGTGGAGTTGCAGGTGGTGGTGTGGCCGGTGGTGGAGAAGCCGGAGGAGGAGATGCTGGAGGAGGAGATGCCGGTGGTGGGGAGGCTGGTGGGGGAGTTGCCGGAGGTGGGGTGGCGGGAGGGGGGGATGATACGGGAGGGGGGGGTGAAAGGGGGGTGGTGCAGAGGTGGGAGGAGGGGTGGTTGGTGGAGAGGGTGGTGGGTTGTTGTTGGGTGGTGGAGTTGTGGGGGTTGCCGGTGGAGCAGGGGTGCTGGTGGTGGGTGACGTGGCAGGAGATTGGCCTCCGACACCGGCGAAGACAATGCAGATGAAGCCCGCGAATAACAAAACTTTGCGATCCATGTCTGATCTCAGTTTCTCTCTCTCCGTCTGAGTAATTAACAGAGAGAAGCTGAGAGAGTGAGTGAGGGAGAAAGAGGGCAAATGGCACTGGTTAAATAGGCCCCCCCCCCTTGTTATTACTATTAAGCCCAGGAGCAACCAACGATCGCCAACGTGATTACATTATGCGATTGACGCGTGTCAAGGTTGGGTGGGATTAATTTTGGGTTCGACACGGTGCGTTTTTACCTTCCTCTATTTCCACTCCCTCCCCAGTTTGGTAGAGGTGAAAAACAAACCCACTCACTCATGGCTCGTGGTGTGGGACCAGACATGTTTGCTTAAATGCTAATTCTTTCTCGAGCTCTTTTTATTTCTTTGTTCATTTGTGTATTATTAATATTATATGTGCAAATACCACATGACACATGTGGGAACTTATATATATATATATATATATATATATACAACAAAAGGTTGTATGATGCATCACATATTAATACATTGATATAATGTTGCACCTTCCTTTCTCATTTTGTGTCTCTGTTGGGAATATACAAGAAAGAAGATATGGTAGTTGTGATGTATCTTGTGCACCCACAAGGTGTGATATGACAACCTAACTATACTTGTTTTGCATATTTCCTCATACCGATTGTGTTAGAGTCGGTCGTGTATGAATGTGTGTGCAAATTCATAACTTAAATGAATGTAAATTCTATTATGAAATTCACTCACATACATTCATGATCTGCGACTATGTATGATTAATTTTAAAACTCTTCTTTCTCATATGCATACATAGAATCATTGATTAATACTACGTACCGTATCTAGTTGAGCTCATATTAATTTTTTAACCACTGGCGGATTCACATCTACAACATAACCCCTATTATTATTACATATGAAATCACTAAATCACTCAGTGTTTATTTGATGTTGTTTAAGAGCATGCCTGTTATGAGGGCAAATTGTTCGATAAAGTGCCTTAAAAATAGATATTGTGTCAATTTAGGGACCCAAAAGCAACTTAAAAAAGTAGAATACGAACTTCATCTTTCCCACAAAAGAAAAATTTATGAATCCGTCACCACCGCAGCTCGACTTGCCCTCATAATGCTATCACAAATGTATATGATGATCACTAAGTGCTTGCGATGTTTTGACAAAGACTTGTTAGAGTGTGAGTTTTTCTTTGCACAATGGATACAATCTTATTAAATTCTAACCATACATTTATGCCATATTTCTGTATTAGTAAACATTTTGCCATGTTCCCTACCATAACATGCATGCCTCCTGATGAATAGTGCAAGAAGTGACCACCATGTGCCTGAATCATTGTTTTGTGCACACAGACAACACACATAGAGAGAATGAGGACAGGTAGTTAAGGTGGAAGCATGATTATCCTTTATCACTTACGGTTAAGAAGCATCAATCAGGAATCAGGATTATGATCAGTGGGCCCCGGGACTAATCTCTATCTTTATGTGTTGTGGGACTCACGAGCCACTACATGGCGGTTGTGGTGTGATTTGTAAGCTAAGTAAGTATATATGCATGTATGAGCCGAAGTCCTCCGGACTCCAAATCACCACCAAGGGGTGGGCCCTGGGGGCTATGCTCTGTCACGCCGTGATCAGTGCCTTCAACCAAAATCTTACTTCTTACAGCTAGCCACACATTATTAAGAGACTCATAATTTTGAAAGGGAAATTTTGATAAATACAAAGGAAATATGATTAATTGGGTCCACTGCGAAACATTAATAAAAGGAAAAAAAAAAGAAAGAAGAAGAAATGAGAGAGAGAGAGAGAGAGAGAGAGAGAGAGAGAGAGAGAGAGAGAGAGAGAGAGAGAAACTACAGACTTTTTCTTGATTGTTTGATGAAGAAAAGAACGTTAGGAGGGAGGAGAAAAGGGCAAAAGACTTTGCTTATAAACCATCCAAGATTGAACAAAACTTTTAGCTCCGGAAACCCAAAAGAACAAAACTCTGATATGATAGGTACTAAGAACTGTGGAAGAGAACTTTCTTTTTATGTTTATGTTTTTAGTTTTGCTAGGAAGCACATTGTTTAAAGAACAAGTCATTTAAACCATGTATTAATGAATACTAAACGCTGATTATGAATAAAACGCATTCGAACTATTTTTATAAGTGTCAACGGAATCTACCATAGTAGAAAAATGGCAGTGTCTCAGGTTCGAACTGCTAAGTTGTGTGTGAAAAAACCCCTCTCTCCTCCCTAACTTTTACAAAAAAAAAAAAGAAGATGTATTTTAATAGGAGAAATTAATTGCTCATAATTTAGCCATGCACATAGACATCCAATGTTGTGGAGTAGAACGTACGTGATGGGACCTAGCCATATGATTGCTTAGTTGTCATGGTAATGTGATGCTAGGGACCTAGCTGGGTTTTCTTAATTGTAATAGTTTGTGTTTGTGTTTTTTTTTGGTTTGATGTTTACTTTCCAGCCTCCTCTTGTTGGTCCATTTCTTTCCCTTCCACAACTCATAAAGCTCGGCTTCTGTCGTCTCCTTCATTCCTAGTGATTCGGGTGACTTTTTAGGGTTCTTCTCAACCAACTCAGAAGTGACACGTTGATGCTACAATGCTCCACCAGCTGCGTCAATGGAAAGTGTCGATCATTTGAATCTGTGGATCGTTTTATCACTTTATATAACTTTTTCTTTTTGGGGTTAACTAGGTTTTGCCCCACTATTTTTAAATTCAATCACTGGCATGATCAAAGTTGCTATTGCTTGCTAGCTGCATGAAGGCTGTATATAGCTGTGGTGGTGATATATTTCCAAACAAAATTAGGGTTTAGAGTCTTCAGACTAAATTGTGGAGCAAGGAATACAAGAGCTCTCATTTTCTCACTTCCCTTTCAAGGGGTTGATTGCTTTCAATTAATGCCAAATATATATATGACCAATCAGTAGAGAACAGCTTCATTGCTTTTGCCTAACTCCCATGCATTCCAGAAGCAATTAGAATGTTTTATTAATTTTCTAACATCATCTCCAAGAGAGGTGTCAATTTGACATCTTTCCAAACTTCCTATTTTCACGCCAGCCATGTTTGATATGGAGGATTAGATTGAACTAGTCTTATATTCTCTCTAATCCTTCAAATTAGAAAATAATACCCATATTCTTCCTTGATTGCACATAAAATCCAGTCATTTTACTAATCCAATCCAAACTAATCCAGTTTAATGCTCCATATCAAACGTGACCCAATACATCAACTACAATTATTATATTTTATTACTTTCATACGGCTCCCTTTATTAGAAAACTTCACAAATCAATTGACAACCACTTTATATTATCTGTTGGGCCCCTATCAAGTTTCAACTTCTAACCCCTGATTCTTCCAGCTTGGAAATTCTAGCTTGTAACTTGGATAACAAGGTAGCCTGAGAGGCAGAAAGGTTATAAGGAGGAGTTTAGAGTGAGGGGCTTATTTGAGAGGTTCAATCCCACCATCAACAAATGTGAGGAAATTAATGGTAGGGGGGCATAGGGCATCTTAGGCCTATGAATAGCTCCTCCCCTGAGTGAGGGTGTCATATATGGACCATAGATATGGACCTTCATATTAGCGACATAATTCATCTAAATAGCAACTTCACTTAAGTTTAATGAAATGATCCTATGACTAATATAAAGGTCCACATGAGGGGTCCATATATGACACCATCACTATAGAATTTTGCCTAAACTCTTCATTATAAAAGCTCCCCCGAGAATCCGAGTTGTAGCAAAGTTTGATATCTTTGGAGCGCCTTACGCCCAAGAGCCTAATAACTTGAGGTGAACAGGTCAAATAAATCACACCAAAACCTAGTCCAAAGCCCCACACTTGACAGCTTGAGAGCTGGACCTTTTGTGTGAATTTGAGATGATCAGTTCTGCTGACCCATGTCATTGTTGGGTTGGGTTGGGTTTATAAGTAAATGGATCATATTTGATATGGATAATGAGCCTTGCCCATGGGCACATTTGTAAAGAATTATTGTTGTTTTTTGAGTGGCTAACTGTAAAAAGAAAAATGGTTCAAATTGAAGGGAATAAAAACAACCCAACATAAAGGATTAAGGCGGGCTCAGCTACTCTCTCACTCTCACTCACACCCTCAATTCGCCAATTCTCCAACTCTCTCTCAACGCTATCCCTTTAGCAGACTAAACGACATGGCAGCAACAACAGGCCTCATCTCCTCCACCTTCCTCTCCGGCGAGACATCGTCGTTTCCCAACACATCTTTCTCCTCCTCATCCTCCTCTCTAAGGTTTCCCCACCCTAACTTCCCTGCTAACCTGCGCATGGTGCGTATCCCAACCCTCGCCACTGCCTCGAAGCCAGCCACCACCCCCCGCCAGCCCCGCGGCATCATGAAGCCTCGCAAAGTCTCGCCCGAGATGCAAGCCCTTGTGGGCACCCCTGAGATTTCTCGCACCCAAGCTCTGAAACTGATTTGGGCTCACATTAAGCAAAATAATCTTCAGGTTTGCTCTGTTCTTTTATGTTTATTTTAAAGTTTTCATTTTTATCACTTTTTCATGGTGGTACTTGATTTTTCGAAAACCCTTTGGTTTTTTGGGGTTTAAATGGTATTTTCATTTTTGATTTTATGAAAAAAAAAAGTCTGGATAAAGTTATATTGGTGTATATGGAAGTGTTAGGTTTGTTGCTACTGTGCTGAAATTGGTTGATATTATGAATGTGAGTGTCTTTTTGCTTGGATAAGGTTTTGGGGGCATGGATGAAAGGTGGGGTTTTTTGTTGTTACTGCACTTGAGTTTGGTTCTTAATGTGTTTTTAACTGGTTGATATGTTTTTTGTTTGTTGAAATCGACAATTTCTATGTATATAAGAGTTGGGTTTCGTTATTTCTATAGTTGAGAGTTCATTTATGTCGTGTATTTAGATAGTTTTATCTGCTGCTATTATGTGGTTATATATTGGTTCAGGCTATGCTTGGATTGAAAAATGAGTAGTGGTATATACTCTGTTAGAGCTTACTTTGGGATTTTCTAGTTTGTTATCCTGGTTAGATTGGACATACTAGGCTGTCTTTATATGAGTGAAGTTGATCCTTAAATTGTCTGTATTTTGTTTTCTGGATGCTTTTTCATCTGTCAAAGTTGGATGTTTCTAGTATATGTAGAATTATTTAAAATGTATTACTCATACTATTTGAAGTATTGTCTTGTGGTTGAATAATGGCTTTGTTATTACCAACTTGCTATCTCCTAAAAGGTTCCTATGGGATTATCTTATGTGCTTTATGATCATCTTGGGGGATTCTGGATCTGGCTATGCAGTTCTGGCTGTTATGGACTGATAGTTGCATGCTTAGGCTTTGGTTTCGTAATTAAGATGTGTGGCTTGAAAAGCAACCCAATTTGCAGTATAAGGGAATTGTAGAAACTGTTTTGAGTTGTGGAGTTATATACTACCTTTAATTTTTCTTTCCATGCTATATTCTCATATTTGAGGTTTGTCTTCCTTCGTAGTAGTAAGATGGTATTGTTGCTCCAGTTTGGTACCTACATGTAAAAGGAGGTCAAATGATTTTTTGGTTCATGCATATTCTTATTTGGCAGTTTCTGGATTTTGTTAAACTTATTTCTTATGCGATTTTGGATATGGTGGCAGGTCAACTGTTATCTCAAACAATAGTAAATACATCTGCACAGTACATGTGCATGCAACTTTTAAATTCAGGACTACCAAGATTTAGCATTCCAGCTTGTTGCTAGTGTAAAGTTACTGGCATGTAGCATTTTCGAATGCATCTCGCATATGCCAATGGCATTGCAGTTTTTTCACACGTATAAAGCAATTTAAATTGATTCACTCGTTCTTTGCTGATGTGAACTCAGCAAAAACCATGTGGTTGATAAATACTTTTGTACTTTAATTTTTTATTTTTCTCACGTTTCCTTTTTCTCTGAATCTGGTGTATCATGTACTTGAGCTTTTGGGTTCTGCATGCTTATCTTCAAATCTTATTATATCATAATTCCTTTCTTGTGACTATCTAAAGATTCTATTGGATAATAAATATAATATTGTAATTAGGATTCAAGGAATATTGGGTTTTCCCCATTTTGTTTAGGGTTTGATAAAGATAGGATACTTGATTGTGGTTTAGTTTCCCATTATGATTGGGGGTTTTAGTCTATTTAATTAATGATAATGTATCTTATTATCTCCCTGAATTCTTATTAACATTTCTATGTTTATGTTAACTATCTCTAATCTTTCTGACTTGGTCCTTGGGCTTCATTCTTCCAGGACCCTCAAAACAAGAGGATTATAGTTTGTGATGAGAAGCTGAAGAAGATTTTTGCAGGGAAGGACCAAGTTGGATTTCTGGAGGTTGCTGGGTTGATCACTCCTCATTTCCTTTGATGGAGCCCAACCTATGTAGGAGAACAAATTTGGAACTGCGGATCATTTAAGAAGCAAATGTTTTTGAATGTGGGGGTTGTGTTTTGGTACTGGTGAAAAAGCCATGCTGCTGCATTATGCTTCTCTAAGTGTTTAGTTTTTGTAGTTAAGGAACAACTAGCTTTAGTTAGAGATTTTGCTTTTGGATTCCTTGTTATGTGGTGGTAGGCTTTCTATATGCAGTATTACTGGTTACTGCTGGATCTGCATTGCTCAAGGGTTTTAAGCTTTGTGGAACTTTGGATCCAAGAGTTTTTAAATGGTGTTATATTTTATCTGTCAAGTCATAAATGGTGTTATATTTCTCAGAAACTTCATGGTATTTGGGTTGAAATTTGGTTATTTTTGAACCTGACATTTCAAACTAACTTTAATGTTGTGAAATTTTTTATGGGTTCGGATCCTTTGCTTTGTTAGGATATGCTTGACTTTTATTATTTACAAGTCCGAGTCTAATCGAGTTCTTAGTATTCCAAAAATGGATTTTAGCCTCCAAAGCCTAAAATCCAAGTCATAGCGTGATTCGACAATCTATCAACTATTTGTTGGAGTTTGAATGACATACATGAACTTGAGTCTCACATTGGAAAAGAAAAGAAAGTCTCTACTCCGTATAAGTGGGAGTTTCACCACACATGCAATATGGAAGGTGGGATTAGTGGAGTGGAACTTGGGCCTTACCTTTTGATTGGGCTTCGATTATGTATACATAATAAATATTATTTAATAATTATAGACCGAGTCTTGTGTTAGTATGACGTAACCGGACCTAATCTAGACATGTCTTAGCAAATTCTTTCGGGACAACAAACCAGTTGTTAAAATCTACTTCAAGGCGCAATCAACTAACTAGGGTTAGGTCTAGGTCGAGTTACGTGAGTATCCAAGCCTAATTGAGTCATAAGTGCCCTATAGTAGTCTAGTGGTTAGGGTTCGAGGCTTCATAAAGGTTTTAGGCTTGGATTTAGGGTTTGGAGGCTCAAATACATTTCTTGAATACTAAAACAATTTTATAATAATTGAAACTATTTTTAAAACATATTCGGAAATTAAAAATAATTTTAAAGTCCACAAAATTATTTAAAATAATTAAATAAAATCAATTAGTATTTATTAAGTAATTTATGAAATTAATTAAAGTACTTAAATACTAATTATTCATTAAATAAAGAATAATTAAAACATAAATAATAATTAATATAATTAAATGAGGTTAAGTTAACTTAACTGCAAATATTAAACTAAACAAACTATATAAAAAATAAAAATAAAAAAGTCCACAAATAATTTTAAATCATTAATTACTATTTATTAAGTGATTGATTAAATTAGTAAAATATTTAAATACTAATTATTCATTAAATAAATAATAATTAAAGTAATTTAAAAAGGCTAAAGTATTGTTTAATTTTTAAAAAAAACCATTTTGTACAATATAGCCGCGCGGCTATACAGTTAGATCGGCTATACTCTTTAAATATTAATATGTTTTAGAAGGATATGAGAGAGTTTTTAGAACCGACTGCATGTCCCTGAACAGATTACAAGACACATCATCTGGAATTAATTCACTATCACAATTTTATAGACAATCACACCAATTTATGAAAGATTGTGGTAGAATTTTAATTTTTCTGAATATAAATACAATTAAAATAGGCAAGAGAGATGTAAGTTTTCTTTTTTTGTTGTTGTCAAATATAAGTTATCTTTGTTGACAAGGTTTAAAATGACGTTTAGTTTAATAAATTTCTAGTAAAAAAAGGAAAAATTAAAATAGCGGGAAAATAATAGATAAAATAAAATAAAATATCAAGGTCCTGAAAATTAAAAAACACTCCCATCTAAAAAAAATGAAGGGAAAATAAAAGAAAATATCTGACTGCTCTCAAAGTCACAATTTCCCTCGAAGATATTCGTCTTCGAAGAGAAGTTGCTTGTAGTACCAAAGCCTCACACCCAGCCACTGAACTCCAATTTTCTCACTCTATCTCTAATGGCAGAGCAAATAGCTCTCCCTCTGCTCCTTCACAACCCACCACCCTCTTCAAGACCCTTCTTCCAAAACCACCACCAAAATCAAAACCCAGCCACACCAACACCACCGCCACTGCCTCCACCTCCACCGATGCCAGTAACCCCTCTTCTCCAAGAGCTCCTCCTCCACCCAAACCCCTCAACCCCACAAACCCAAAACCCCACCTCCCCTCCCACCCTCCCCAGAGCACGCACTCGCATCGGCAAGTCACGTGACTCCAACCGCGGCAAGCCCTGGTCCCACCACCGCCTCTCCTCTCAAGGTCAGCATATCCTCCACTCCTTTCTTGACCCACAATTTGATTCTTCTAAACTAGATGAGCAGCTTCTGGGTTTAGTTGATTTGCATAGAGATGAATTTGGTTCTAGCTTGGACTCTCTGTCTCTGGACGTCCTGGGTATTGTTAAAGGTTTAGGCTTTCACAAGAAATTCGACTTGGCAATAGATGTGTTTGAGTGGTTCAAGAAACGTGAAGATTGTGATTCAATTTTGAGTGGTTCTGTTGTTGCTGTGATTATTAGTATTCTGGGAAAAGTGGGCAGGGTTTCTTCTGCAACTTCTTTGTTTCAGAGTTTGCATAAGGATGGGTTTGCGCTTGATGTTTATGCTTACACTTCTCTGATTACTTCTTGTGCCAGTAATGGGAGGTATAGGGAGGCTGTTACTGTTTTTAAGAAAATGGAGGAAGAGGGTTGTAGGCCCACATTGATAACTTACAATGTGATTTTGAACGTGTATGGGAAAATGGGTATGCCTTGGAATAAGATTAGAGCGCTTGTTGAGTGTATGAAGAGTGCTGGGATTGCCCCGGATTCTTATACTTATAATACACTTATAACTTGTTGTCGCCGCGGCTCTTTGCATGTGGAGGCAGCTGAGGTTTTTCAGGAGATGAAATCAGCAGGGTTTGTACCCGATAAAGTTACGTATAATGCGTTGTTGGATGTGTATGGAAAGTCTAGGCGGACTAAGGAAGCAATGGAGGTATTGAAAGACATGGAGTTTAATGGGTTTTCTCCAAGCATTGTGTCTTACAATTCACTGATATCAGCTTATGCAAGAGATGGTTTATTGGAGGAGGCAACAGCCTTGAAAACCCAGATGGTGGAGAAGGGGATTAAACCCGATGTTTTTACCTACACCACCCTTTTTTCAGGATTTGAGAAGGCTGGGAAGGATGAGCCTGCAATGAGGGTTTTTGAGGAGATGAAAAGTTCTGGTTGCAAACCAAACATCTGTACCTTCAATGCCCTGATTAAGATGCATGGCAACAGGGGAAATTTTGCAGAAATGATGAAAGTTTTTGAAGAGATCAAGATATGTAAGTGCACCCCTGATATTGTCACGTGGAACACACTTTTGGCAGTGTTTGGCCAAAATGGGATGGACTCAGAAGTGTCAGGAGTGTTCAGGGAGATGAAGAGGGCAGGGTTTGTTCCTGAGAGGGATACTTTCAACACTCTAATCAGTTCATACAGCCGGTGCGGTTCATTTGATCAAGCCATGGCTGTGTATAAGAGAATGCTAGAAGCTGGTGTTACTCCAGACCTTTCTACCTATAATGCTGTTTTGGCAGCACTGGCTCGAGGTGGGCTTTGGCAACAGGCTGAGAAAATACTTGCTGAAATGCAGAATAGTCAGTGCAAACCCAATGAGCTTACATATAGTTCTCTGCTCCATGCTTATGCCAATGGCAAAGAAATGGAGCTCATGCATGTTCTTGCTGAAGAAATATACTCTGGTGTGATTGAACCCCATGTTGTGCTCTTAAAGACACTTGTTCTAGTTTTTAGTAAAAGTGACCTTTTGATGGAAACAGAACATGCCTTCTTGGAGCTGAGAAGAAAAGGGTTTTCACCTGACATAACTACCTTGAATGCGATGCTGTCAATATATGGCCGGAGGCAGATGTTTATGAAGACAAGTGAGATTTTGAAATTTATGAATGAGATGGGGTATACTCCTAGCTTGACAACTTACAATAGTTTGATGTATATGTACAGTCGCTCAGAGGATTTTGAGAAATCAGAAAAGTTTCTAAGGGAGATTATGGAGAAGGGAATAAAGCCTGATATAATTTCATACAACACTGTCATTTTTGGCTATTGTAGAAATGGTCGTATGAGAGACGCTTCACGGATATTCTCAGAAATGAGGGATGCTGGGATTGCTCCAGATGTAATCACTTATAACACCTTTGTGGCAAGTTATGCAGCTGATTCTTTGTTTGTCGAAGCAATTGATGTGGTCCGCTACATGATTAAGAATGGCTGTAAGCCAAACAAGAACACATACAACTCCATTGTAGATTGGTACTGTAAACATAATCGACGGGATGATGGAGTTAAGTTTGTCAATAACCTTCGCAATCTTGATCCACATATTTCTGATGGGGAGGAATACAGATTATTAGACCGTATTAAAAATAAATGGTCATAGTTAGTTTTTCCTCTATGAATGGGGTTGCAGCTCGATTGGCTTATTATTAGCCTCGAACACTTTAATGCATCAAGTCCTTCATTACCTCTTTCTATGCTCATGTTACATATATTTTGTTTGGGCATTGATACGAGAAGGATGTAATGTTGTTGTTGTACATGATTTTGTTGTTTCTATGGAAGGCTAGCTGCAGGATATTGTGAATATTTTGTATCCGAGGGATTATATGTTTGTTCAACTCAATATATATGGTCTGCGGCAGATATTGTATAGATCAGCTGAGATGAAAAGTAGTGGCATGCTGAGTAATTTCAAGGTACATAACTCTAAAACAACCACGGATTGCCAATATCTGTATTATGACGGTAAAAATTGTGAAAATCTCGCCCCCGTAAGCTTGTAACAAATCATGGCATGACCATTGTATGATTAATGGTTGAACATTTCCATTTCTGATTTTGGAGTTTCATCGAAGGTTATAGTTAAATGGTGTAATCAATCCATTTCTGGATCTTCCTTATGCTTTCTTATCTGTCTATTAATTGATATTAAGTTTTGGTTGCTTGGTCAGGATGAGTAAGATGGGTTGATGATGTTGTGAGATATATATTACTATCATGCCCTTGATCGTTTTCTTGCAAGTAGAAATAGATGTGGTTGCTCTTTGCATAATTGCATGCAATCTGGCCCATTATTGATGGTGAGAAAATGAACAACAAAAAGACAGGGAAGGACTCTTGGTAACCAAGAAGAAAATATACACGCAAGATTGATGAAGCAAACGTGCCCTACTCTTCTGGTGAATTATGATAAGAGTAGAATTCATGTTCAATATGATTACCAATACCATCATGAACAAAAAAATATCCAATCACTTTGTCTGTTTTCTATCCTCTGTGTGGGATGCAAATTCATGTAAAATGTGTTAACATGCTTCCTAAATGTAAAATTATGAAAATCTCTATTTTTTTTTTGTAAGCTATTTAATTATGCAATTGTCGTAAGAGGTTTGTAATTCAAGTGGATAAACAATTAATTCTGCATCTGAGTTCAAGCTTTCACTGTTCTCCATTAGTGTATAGATTAGTCACGAATGTAACTCCATTGTGTACGAATTTGTACTAAAGATGCAACCAATATGGAAGGCGGAGACTCTCCCAAAAATAAAACTTTTCCTTTGGAGAGCTCTATCTGGATCCATCTAGACCAGACTTGCTCTTTTTAAAAGAAAAATTGCAACGGATCCCACCTGCCCAATTTGCGAATGTTTTGAAGAATCGGTGGAGCACATTCTTTATCTTTGCCCGTGGACTCAACTTGTGTGGTTTGGCTCAGACCTCTCCTACAAAGTTGACCCCCGGAGGATCTCGACTTTTGATAGATGGATTGAAGGCATTATTTCGATCCCTGGCACCTCAAGAACTGAAGGCAAATTTCTATTATCTTTTCTCAGCTTCTTGTGTTGGGAAATTTGGAAGGCAAGGTGCAACTTCGTTTTTAATGGGTTTAGCCCTGATCCGAGGCTTGCGATCACCCATGCTAGAGATGCTTGCTCTGAATACTTAGCGGTTGTCTCCAAGGTTGATGCTAGAGGGAACCTCTCTCCTGTTCATCATGTCCAAGGAACCCGGTGGTCTAAACCAGGCCCAAACTACGTAAAATTCAACTTGGATGGCTCTTGGCTTCCTGGCACAATGAAGGGCAGCATTGGCATTGTGTCTCGTAATTCCTCTGGGGATTGGTGTGGTGGTCTTGCCTCCCCACTTTCATGTGTTTCATCTCTTAGTGCAGAAGCGGCAGCAGCTCTTTGTGCTTTACATCTTGCTAAAGACGGGTTTTATGAAAGTCATCTTGGAGACAGATTGCAAGGTGTTAATAGATGGCATCACTGAAAATCATGATAACAACTCCTGGGCTATCCTTCCTCTTATTGACGAAATCCATGATGTGGTTTCGAGCTTCGAAGAGGTGATTTGGTCATGGGTGCCTAAGAGTGCAAATCGTGCGGCTCATGCAGCAGCATCGATAGGTAACAAAGCTATGAAATTGCAAAGTTGGGTCGACAGACCACCATTGTCTCTTGTCGGGGTGTTAACTTCTAATGGTTTGCCTTGTCCACCTCTTGTTGCTTCTGCAGTTTGGTTTTAATTCCTATTAGTAGCTAGTTTGCTGGGTAGGGACTGTTGTTCTAGGCTCCGGTGGAATCTAGCTATGTATGACCCTGCTTTTGTTAGTTTGTTCTTGTGTTCTGCTGGCTCCTTGTGGCTTTTGCCTTCTATTTGTATTTCTATTCCCTGTTTTGGGGTTTTATGAATACAACATGAATTTCAGACCCAAAATAAATAAATAAATAAATAAATAAATAACCAAAAGGTTTCTTGAAGGAGTTTATAAAATCTCATTTTACAACTGTGACTCAGACTCATGACCGACAAATCACATTAGAGGGTGAGGAAAGCCATAACAGCAAAACCAAAATCAAAACCAGACATGAATTGCAGTAAATGTGGATAATCATGAGCCACACATTGAAGGAAAATATTTTCCCATCTCCCAAATATAAGAGCGAGACCAACAACGTACTAAACTCAGAAATTAGTAGTGTAGAAGACACTGGAAGCAATTTGAGACTTTTAGTCAATTTGGCGCAACCAAGACAGGACAACAATGAGCCGGTGGTAGTCAGGAGCCATAGGAGCTGCAAAGGTAAGGACTTTCTCCACAAACCCATCAATTTTTTTTCCTTCAATTCATCCATGATCATATGCTAACATTTCCCTCCCAAATAATCACCAACCAGAAAACGTTTGATCCCAACGATGCACCACCCAAGTACCAGAGCGCGGCACTGGTGGCCGGGGTCACGGGGATCGTGGGCAACAGCCTTGCCGAGATCCTGCCGCTCCCCGACACCCCCGGTGGGCCCTGGAAGGTCTATGAGGTTGCCCGCAGGGCCCGCCTGGAGTGGAACGCTGATCATCACATCGAGTACATCCAATGTGATCTCTCAGACCCTCATCAAACACATTCTGAACTCTCCCAACTGACCGATGTCACACACATCTTTTACGTCACTTGGGCCAGCAAGCCCACGGAAGCAGAGAACTGCGAGGCCAATGGCAACATGTTTCGAAACTTGTTGGATGCTGTGATCCCAAATGCACCAAATTTGCAGCACATATGCTTGCAAACAGGTCGCAAGCATTATATTGGTCCATTTGAAATGTGGGGAAAATTTGAGCCTCATGAGCCTCCGTTTCATGAGGACCTCCCAAGGCTCAACGTGCCCAACTTTTACTATACATTGGAGGACATTTTGTTTGAGGAATGAAGAAGAAGGAGGGGTTGACATGGTCAGTTCACAGGCCTAGTGTGATTTTCGGGTTTTCGCCTTATAGCTTGATGAACATAGTGGGGACTTTTTGCGTTTACGCCGCAATTTGTAAGCAAGAGGGGAAGAAGAAACTGACGTTTCCTGGGAGCAGAGGATTTTGGAACGGGTACTGGGATGCCTCGGATGCTGATCTGATTGCTGAGCATGAGATATAGGCAGCAGCAGTTGATCCTTATGCCAAGAATGAGGCTTTCAATTGCAGCAATGGGGATGTGTATAAGTGGAAGCATTTAGTTTTGGCAGAGCAGTTTGACATGGAGTTTGAGGACTTCGATGATGATGACGAGGGAGGATCGAGGCCGAGCATGGGGGAGATGATGAAAGATAAGGGGCCAATGTGGGATGAGATTGTGAGAGAGAATGGTCTGGTGCCTACCAAATTGGAAGATGTTGGGAATTGGTGGCTTGCGGATGCTATGTTTGGGGTTGATTCAACTATGGACACTATGAACAAGAGCAAAGGGCATGGCTTTGTGCGGTTCAGGAATTCAAAGACATCTTTTGTAACTTGGATTGATAAGATGAAATCTTACAGACTTGTTCCTTGATGTGGTGGTGCCCAAGTTTTTTTCTTCTTGTTTTTGTTCCTTAGTCTTGTTGGCTTGGTTTTCTTATGCTGTTGTAAGTTTTTACTTGTAATTGTAATTACCAAATCTTGGAGATGATGGTTTATTGGGTTTGTAATTTTGTGTAGTTTTTTTCTTCAAGAAAATGGAAAATATGATGCGAAAGATGATTAGCAAATCCTATATAATGGCCCCAAAACACCAGGAGGGTGAACCGCATGGATGGTCTGAATTAGAAGCCTGAACTTGTCTACAATATCATCACCAACCTGCAGCTCGTGAGCAGTTCTTGGATGCAAATTTTAGTTCCTTCGTCATTCGCACTTGAACTAGCTGCCATGCTTATGGCAAAGTAGTTAAAGTACATTTCCGATTAGAGATGCCAGAGAACCGTTTTTAAACCCGAGGAAAGATCTAATCTACTTGTGGAAATGCTATTTCATAGTTTCATTTGTTGCTGTTGTCTGACATAACTATTGCTAGATGTCTAGTAGCCAGCCTAGTAGGCAACTTGGAGAATTCACAAAATGCAAACGAACCGAGAAGGTTTTATAAAGTAAATGCTTCAATAAGAAGAAGAATGAGGCGATTTCAGATCATGCTGGTAGCAGTTCCAAGCACAGAATACATGTAACGTTTAGAAACTAGTCCATCAACATTTCCATAACCTATATTGGAGGCACCACCTCTATATTTCTTCCACTGAGACCGTTAAAATTCAGATCATGCTTGCAGTTCATGTAAAACCAGTTCAATTGTCACCTGCCGTTGCGGCATCTTCAACTCCTAATGCTACGTTTCGACTGTCCATGTTTGTTGGAGTTCGGAAAGCAGTAGAGCCAACTCTTCATCGGACACCTTAACTTCAATGCACGCTCCCAATGATGCAGCTAGTTGATGTTTATGCTGGAAAAAAAAAAAAGTAAAAATAAGAGAGGAATCTCACAGAAAGCTGCTCTCCTCTGTTTACAATGTCATAGAAGATACTTCTCTTTGTTCACTCTATATTCTAAGTGATCACCCCAAATTCTAATTTAAATTTTCACGATTTCTAAGAAAATTCCACTATCTTTCCAAACTACCGTTAAATACACACTCAGCAGAAAAAATAAATAAAATACTCATCAACCTCACACTCTACACTCCGCGATCTTGCCCATCACCAATCTAAGTTGACCTCAACATCACATTACTTAAAAGAGATAAAAACAATTTTGTCAAATGTGTAGCATCATTATTTTATTATTAATTTTCTTGTTCAACAAAGCAAACCCATGTGGCAATTTCCAGATTACATATCAATCAAAGGCTTAGGCAGGCATTGTTTTTTTGCTTCGCAGTCACGGTCTTTTTTTTCCCCCTCCAGTTTTGTTTCTTTAATTTTAATTATTATTATTATTATTATTAATTTTCATTTGTTTGATTGATTATGAATTGTCTTATTTAGGATTTGTAAAGAGAAGATGAGAGTGTAATATGTTTCTTAGATTGAAAGAGAAGAGTAATCTAGCAATAGGGTGTAGAAGAGTTTGTGTTTTTGTAAAACTTAATATGAAGAGTGGTGGGGTGTATGATGTGTGTGTATAGATGTACTAGGGTTAAATATTAAGTTGGATGACATTTTTTGTCCTTTTACACAATAATAAAACTTAAAGCTTAATGATTTAAGTATTGAGATAAAAAAAAAAAAGAATTGCGGAGTTTAAATATAAAAACTCAAACAAAAATGTTTCCTTAACGAGTTTATCACATTATTACAACTGTGACTCAGACATATAACCGACAAATCACATTAAATGCACATGCATGTAAAACGTACCAATTGTCCAAAAAATTCAAATGGCGATGCCAAACCGAAAGCAAAACCAGACATGAATTGCTGGTAAAAAAGGATAATCACCGGTCAAAATTTGGAAAAAAAAGGATAATCACCAGCCAACAATTAAGGATAAGATTTTCCCATCTCCCAAATATAAGAGACCAACACACAATCCGACCATGAACCAACAACATAATAAACTCAGAAACTAGTAGTGTAGAAGACACTGGAAGCATTGAGACTTTGAGACACTTGGTCAATTTGGGTGCAACCAAAACAGCCCAACAATGAGCTGGTGGTGGGCAGGAGCCGAAGGAGCTGCAAAGGTAAGCACTTTCTCCACAAACCCATCAAATTTTTTTTTTCTTCAATTGTTTGAGTTCCAATCTCCATGATCATCTGCTAACAATTCTCCTGCAAAAACCATAAACAACCAGAAAAAGTTTGATCCCAACGATGCACCAGCCAAGTACCAGAGCGTGGCACTGGTGGCCGGGGTCACGGGGATAGTGGGCAATAGCCTTGCTGAGATCCTGCCGCTCCCCGACACCCCCGGTGGGCCCTGGAAGGTCTACGGGGTTGCCCGCAGGGCCCGCCCGGAGTGGAACGCTGATCATCACATCGAGTACATCCAATGTGATCTCTCAGACCCTCATCAAACACATTCTGAACTCTCCCAACTGACCGATGTCACACACGTCTTTTACGTCACTTGGGCCAGCAAGCCCACGGAAGCAGAGAACTGCGAGGCCAATGGCAACATGTTTCGAAACTTGTTGGATGCTGTGATCCCAAATGCACCAAATTTGCAGCACATATGCTTGCAAACAGGTCGCAAGCATTATATTGGTCCATTTGAAATGTGGGGAAAATTTGAGCCTCATGAGCCTCCGTTTCATGAGGACCTCCCAAGGCTCAACGTGCCCAACTTTTACTATACATTGGAGGACATTTTGTTTGAGGAAGTGAAGAAGAAGGAGGGGTTGACATGGTCAGTTCACAGGCCTAGTGTGATTTTCGGGTTTTCGCCTTATAGCTTGATGAACATAGTGGGGAGTTTGTGTGTTTACGCTGCGATTTGTAAGCACATAGGGAAGAAACTGAGGTTTTCGGGGAGCAGAGGAGCGTGGAACGGGTACTGAGATGCCTCAGATGCTGACCTGATTGCTGAGCATGAGATATGGGCAGCAGTTGATCCTTATGCAAAGAATGAGGCTTTCAATTGCAGCAATGGGGATGTGTGTAAGTGGAAGAATTTGTGGCGGGTTTTGGCAGAACAGTTTGACATGGAGTTTGAGGACTTTGATGATGATGATGAGGGCGAAGTTTGGCAGAACAGAAAGACATGGAGTTTGAGGACTTTGATGATGATGATGAGGGCGAATCGAGGCCAAGCATGGAGGAGATGATGAAAGATAAGGGGCCAGTGTGGGATGAGATTGTGAGAGAGAATGGTCTGGTGCCTACAAAATTGGAAGAGATTGGGAATTGGTGGTTTGTGGATGTCATATTTGGGGTAGAGTCAAGTGTGGACAGTATGAATAAGAGCAAAGATCATGGCTTTGTGGGGTTCAGGAACTCAAGGACATCATTTGTAACTTGGATTGATAAGATGAAATCTTACAGACTTGTTCCTTGATGTGGTGGTGGTGGTGCCCAAGTTCTTTTTTTGTTTTTCTTGTTTTTGTTCCTTTGTCTTGTTGGTTTGGTTTTCTTATGCTGCTGTTATAATTGTTTAGTTAAGGTTGTAATACAAAATCTTGGTGGTTAGGGTTTATTGGCTTTGTAATTTTGTGTGAATTATGAATTAAGTCCATGAATTTTGGTCTTACATTACAATGATTTCAAGTCCCTTTATTTTGGTAATTCAGCTAGATGCATCACTTAAGGACAAATCAGTACAAACAATCCTAATGTATTTGTGGGGTTATTGATGAGGGCATCTTTGCCAAACCCATTTGGGTTTACAAAAGAAAGAGATGAAAGAGGAAGTTATTTAATTTGGTCTTTAAATCTGGCAAATTTTGATTCCTGCAATTAGTTTCTAACTCTAAGTTGTCCAGGTTTCAGTAGGATTTCTAAATTCCCTATTTTATTTAGGTTAGAATTTCTGTTTTAGCAAGGAATTTTTTTAATTCCATTGTCTCTGAGTTTTAATTTGCTATAAATACCCCTCTCATGTAATTCATTAGGGAGTTAAGTTGTTGAGATATTAAGAAAAGTTTATTTTCCAGAGATTCCTTGGTGTGGAGCCAAACCCCTGGAGTGATTCCAGACCTATCCTTATTCGTTCTATTTTTTGTTTTCCATTGTTTTCGCTTCCACTAAACTAATACTCAATTCACCCATATCCTACATCAGTTATCCAACAAATCAAGACCAAATTAGTACAAATTTGAATTGGTCACCTTGAGCACAACTGAAGCATCAGGATATAAATTATTGGACTAGAAAACTGTTTAACCCAACCATATAAATCCACTACTGTAAATTACAAATCTACCATCCAAAGATTTTGTTATGGCCAAATGTATTTGTCAATTATCAACCTGGAAGATCAATTCACAAAAGCAGCAAATAGGGATTTTACTGATTCACATATACAATCAACCATTTTTTCTACAACAAAATGGAAAATGTGATGTGAAAGCTGGTTAGCAAATCCTATATGATTTCCCCAAAGAACCACATGGAGGGTCTGAATTACAAACTTGTCTACAATATCATCACCACCTGCATCTCATGAGCAGTTCCTGGAGATATGACATAAACAAATAATTAAAGGGAAGAGCCATTTCTGAAACATGACAACTGTTTTCTAGCACAGGTGGTTTTATAAAGTAAATGCTTCAATAAGAAGAAGAATGAGGTGATTTCAGATCATGCTGGTAGCAGTTCCAAGCACAGAATACATGCAATGTTTAGAAACTAGGCCATCAACATTTCCATAACCTATATTGGAGGCACTACCTCTATATTTCTTCCACTGATTATGTTAAAATTCAGATCATGTGACCTGCTCTTGCGGTACTCTTCAACTCCTAAGTCTAAATTTCGGCCATCCACGTATGTCAGAGTTTAGAAAGCAGTACAGCCAACTGTTCATCAGACACCTTAACTTCAACGCATGCTCCCAATGATGCAGCAAGCCTTGCAGCTAGTTGATGCTTACACTGGACAAGAAGAAACAAAGTAAAAAACGAACAAACTTGTTATTTTCTTTAGTTTCAGGGAACTAAATAATGATAAGCAATTGAGGAATCTCACACAAAGCTGCTCTCCTCTGTTTACAATGTCATAGAAGAATGAATAACAAGCACAATAGTGCTCAGCAAAACAGAAGTACTCCTCCTTCCTCCGGGATTCTCCTACGACCTAACCAGACAACATAAAATGAGAACTGGGATTTAAGTTTTCTTTCTACTTAAGAAGTCAACAAAAATTTATAATTATTTGACCCAAACAAACATGATTCTTTCCCCTGAATTGATTTGCATAAGTTACCAAATTTCTTATTTTTGAAAAGAGTTACCAAATTTCATATCTTTTTGGCTGAACATGAACATTGAACAACTAAACAAATTCCAAGAGATTTCTTGGCAGTTCCAGCCATAAAGATAAACTTGTTGCTCAAATTTCAAGTAATCTACATTCAAAATTCTGTCCAAACTGCTTCAATGTGCATACCTGAAATACTAAATTCATTTGAAACCCAGAAAGTGATATGAATAAAAGTCAAACCTGAAAGATGGAACGTCCACTGGGCTCACCCAAAACCCTCTTGACACCTCTTTGATCCACTATCCTTGTTGCCCTCTCCAAGTTCTTACCGAACAAGAAATGCAAGCTGAATTTTGACCGCAACAGACATTATCGGAACAAAATTTTCAGCTTTTCTCATAAGGGTTTAACAAAGAATTTGAAATGAGATGAGACTAACATGGAGAGCTGATCATCGGTCACTGTCCCATTTCAGCCATTTCAATTAGGTCCTTCTCATCAATGCCGACATTATATTTATAAAAAATGAAAGCAAAGGTTATGTCTTTTAAGTGGGAAATACTCAAAAACAAAGAAGAAGAACAAGAAAACAAAAAACAAACAAATTAGGAAGAGAAAAGAAGGAAATGAGGAAGGACCTGAACCAGTTGATTCAATGGCCTTCCAAACTGCCTCTGCAACCAAGCTACTTGCACTCATATTCTCACTTTGCCACGCCCTATAAAAGATGGGTTTGATGATAGAGCTTGGGGAAATTCAATAAACAGGGCTCCAATTCTAGAATCTGATTGGGTTCCCAAGCTGTTTGACAATAGCTTCTGCAGAGATGAAGCATCTTTCTCACGGGAATGAACCTTTCCACTAAATTTTGAGAATTGAGACCGTTTAGTTGTAATTTTTATTTTTATTTAGAAAAATTTTAATTTAGAATTTTTTTAATAAAAGAAGAAAAACATTTCAAAAAGCTAATATGTTTGCTTAATTTGACATGAGTCGTTGCGATGCTATTTGGGTTTTGAAAAATTAGTAAACTACTTTTTTTTTTTTTTTTCGGAAAATAAGCGATAGTCTAAATTAAAGATGTCAAAAACATTCTAACTTGAGATGACTAATATGTATTTACACTATATAGCAAATATTAAAAATGACAAAGTGATATTTTGAAAATATTAAAAAAACAGACTAAAATTTAGGAATTACATAACAACAAGAGAAGAGAGCTCTTAAATTTCTGTAAACGACTTAGAAATTACATAATAAGAGCACACCCAAATTCCATTTTGAGTGAATAAAAGTACACACCATAGTGATTGATTTTCATTAGAACTACAACACAACATGTGGCAGAACTCCACACAAAGTATCTCAGTGGTGAATAATTTTTACTGTTCACACAATTTTGCCATTGATTATTACTTTTTAAATACAAGCGAGGTGACACATGGATTCGAACATGAGATCACCATTCTGTAAGTCAAAGCACTATTTGTCACCATAGATTCTTTTCTTGATGTATGAGATTTAGATAACCTCTAAAGCCTTCACAAGAGAGCAGGGAAAGTTTACAGGCCTACCTAAGAAGAATGTCCCTAAGGGATTGCAATTCAGAGGCAACATGACTAATACCCTTTCGGTCTCTTGGGGATTCAACAGAACAAGCAATTCCAATTTGAAAGATCGAACACAAGCACTTCAGCTTTTTTTGAGTGTCATTGGTTCTCCTTCCGGTGTGATCTCCTTGAAGAAGTAGTGGATCTGCAATTTCTGTAACTCTCTCAGGAAAAGCCACCTTGACAAAATTATGAAGGTTCAAGCCTTCACTAAACATGTGGTCAGTGGGTCTCTTGCCTGTAAACATCTCTAGCAAGAGAATGCCAAAGCTGTAGACATCCCCATATGTCGTCACCTTACTTCCCATGCCATACTCTACAGTTCAAAACATCACAAATTATCACTACAAATGTGAATTAAATTACTCTCTTCTCGTTATATTTGTATAAGAAAGGATGAAGGAAGCTGTGAACATTACCTGGAGCTACATAACCAACTGATCCTCTTATGCCAGTGGAACTTATTTGATTTGCAGAAACGTTACTAGTTTCTTTAGGGAGAAATCTTGCTAGTCCGAAGTCAGATACATGTCCGGTCAATCCGTCGTCCAAAAGAACATTGCTTGGCTTGAGATCGCAATGAACTATTGGTGTTCCACAATGGTTATGAAGATAATCCAGAGCACAAGCAACATCAATGGCAATGTCTAGCCTCTGAGCAAGATTTAAGTTCTTAGGTGCATCTCTTACCTCCTCTGTTGGAGTAGTTGGATGCAACCACTCCTCTAAGCTCCCATTGTCCATGAACTCGTAAACCAGGGCCTTGAAATCGTTGCCACGAAAATCAACACTCGAACATACAGTTAAAATCTTGACAAGATTTCGATGCCTGATATTTCTCAAGGCCTCACATTCAGCTATGAAACTCTTAGAAGCTCCCCGGCGTAACAGGTTGAGCACTTTCACTGCAACAAGCTGAGCTCTATCATCATCAAGAAGTAGGCCTTTGTACACAGACCCAAAACTTCCAACACCAATCAAATTAATGGAAGAGAACCCATCAGTTGCTTTTAGGAGAGCAGAGTATGACAATTGCAATATAGAGTTTTCCAAACTTGTCATTTCAGTTTCTTTGCTTTTCTTCTTTCTTAGCCGATGAAGAAATATAAGAGACAGCAGGATAGCTATTCCTAGAAACCCGGATAGAGAGATTACTAAAATGAAGCTATGAGACAATCCTCCACCCTTGGACTCCTTGGACTCCTTAGACTCCTTGGACTCCTTAAAATGTTTGCATTTGGGCAGCTGAAGCTCAGCAATGCCGCCGCAGAGCCTGGTGTTTCCAACAATTGAAGTCGCACTAAGAGTGTTAAAAACACCTTCAACTGGTACAGCTCCCCGAAATTCATTGTAAGATAGGTTCAGATTTTTCAAGAACGAAAACCCCTGTAAAAATCGTGGAATTTCACCCCACAGATTGTTGCAAGAAAGATCCAAATCTCGAATCCGTTTCAGTGAAATCATAGAAGAAGGAATAGGCCCCTTGAACAAGTTGCCTTGCAAGTGTAGGACTTCTAAGCTCAAACAGCTACCAAGGCTAGTGGGAAGTTCTCCTGATAATGCATTGTTTTGAAGACTCAATCTCCTAAGCCTTGAAAGTTTCACAATGTCGTTGGGGATATGGCCTTTGAAGTTGTTATTCCCCATGCTCAATAATTCTAAGTTAACCAGGTTCTGCAAATTTGGCACCTGCCCAGTTAGTTTGTTCTCTGAAATATCCAATTCCACTAGACTTGTGGCATTGGATATTGACATAGGAATGGACCCAGTAAATTGGTTCCCATAAATGTGAAAGTATTGGAGATTAGGAAGAGTGTTTCCTAAGTCGGAGAGAATGCTCCCTTGAATTTGGTTTTGTGACAAGGAAAAAGCAATGAGAGCAGAGAGGTTGTAGATGGAGGGAGGGACACTACCAGACAACGTATTTGAGGCCAATGAAATATTAGTTAAATTTCTCAATTGACCTAAAGAACTAGGAATGCTTCCTTTCAAGTTGTTATCATTTGCACCAAGTATCATCAGATATGAAAGATTACCAAGGGAAGGAGGGATTTCTCCTGTTAAGTTATTAGCTTGCAGAACAAGGCTTTGAAGCTTCGACAAGGTGCTGATTTCTGGCGATATTTTACCCACCAAGTTGTTGTAGCCAACATTAAGATTGATGAGGCTGAGGCAATTAGAAACATTGACAGGAAGAGAGCCACTAAGTGAGTTATGGTCTAGACGAAGTACCTGCAATCTGCGTAAATGCCCGATTTCCGGAGGGATTTCATGACTGAAGCTGTTGTTTTGGAGATGTAGTTCCCTTAAGAAGCTTAGATTGCCTATGTGTGGGGATATGGTTCCCACTAAATTTTGAGACTGTAGATCTAGCCGAATGACCCTCTGATGATGCTGTAGACTGCAGTTGACACCCTGCCATAGGCAAAAGTGAATGAAGTCTTTCCATGAGCTCAAGACCCTATGGGGGTCTTGCAGTATTTGAGCTTTCATGGCTTGCAATGCCAACCTATCTGTCTCATTTCCTGGCAATGAGCTCCCACAGTAGACTAGTGTGCTAAAGAATGAGTATATTAAGATAAGTCTCAAAACCAAAACCCCCATTTTGAATTGGGTAACTAGAGAGAGATAGATGGGTTGAGATGTGAAATCAAATTGGCCAGTTTTATTTCATATCAGACGGGAAGTAAGAACCTGCAGAACATTTTCCAACAAGTTTCAAATTGCCTTATTTTCCAAGGACCACGTCAATGGTCTGTCTGCTAGTCTTGCTCCAAGAAGTAAGCTACATGCTTTGACTATACTGGTCAACATAATATATCGTGTTTCATAACTTCCACGAAAATGTGAAAAAGAAAATGACTTGGTTGAACAAGAACCCAACGTGTCCTGGATGGTATGATGTTTAGACTGAAGATGAGAATGTGGACCGACGTTTAATTAGTTCGTTTTCTTAATTAAATAATTATATCAGTCATTGTCTTAAAGAATTTTAAGCGGTACTATCCATCGAACTTAACCCCCTGAGTTATATTTTGTCCATTCACATTAACTAACTTAAAATCCAACTACAAATATACTGTAGTAGCTTTTAGTATAGTAATACTTCTTTTCCCAAATGTTCATTAAAAAAATAATAATAATAAAATAAAATGAAAAAGAAAAGAACAGCCGGTTTGATCTAACCCAATTTGTTGCTTATGATGGAAACCATGAACATGAAGAAACCACAACGAGAAATCAATAGAACAGAACCTGTCATTAGAATATTTTGGGGGGAGGGGAAGAAGATCACAAAATTGGTGCTACAACTTCTCTGGAGTTTGCAGGCTGTCTGAGCCAGCCAAAAAACATGAAGTGAAAAAAAAAAAAAAAAAAAAAAAAAAAAAAAAAAAAAAGAGGAAAAAAAAGGAAAAAAAAAAAAAAGACCTTCAGTTGCAGAAATTTACTCCCAGTCTGCATTAAGAAGTGCTTGTATACCTATGCTATAAAATTCATCTAATATACCCCAACCAATCCACAAAAAAAAAAAAACAAATAAACCTAACCTTATTCACATGTTTTTTGATTATTTCAACTACTGAACTACACTATGCTAGGGTATCAACCATTCAAGGGTTTTCTTTCGTTCACTAAACGATGTGATGCAGACCCTGTTCTGCATCATCTGCACTAACCGAGAAAATATCAACAGGTGCTCTGGTAGAACCAAGAGTACTGTGCTTAATTTTATGCTTCGAGGAGCTTTTATGGTGATCAAGATAGACTACAATAACAGTGATGTCATCATGGAAGTGACGCCTTACTCCCTTTTCAATTTTCTTTATGTCATCATATCTCATCTCCCTCTTCTTTGCAGCCTCATGAAGAGCAGCCCTTACTAATCTCTTTGCAATACCCTGCAAATATTAAACCAACGAATGGAATTCTGTCACAGAGATGTCCAGAACACACTCAAACACAAATTTGAATAATTTAATCCTACTGCTATTATTATTTTAAAACATTTGAATCTATTAGAAGGGGAAAGAATAAACAGCGAATAAATGGAAGGGAAACGTGCATATGCTCAAGTACCGAACAAATTGACAAAGATAATGACAATAACAAGGTGATAACCTAAGGTCCTCTGGGTATATTTCTGTAAAAAAATAGGTGAAGGATGGGAACTTACAGCTCTAGGGTTTTTGAAAACAATTTCTACTGCTGCTTCATCACTCAACTGTTCCCAGAGGCCATCTGATGCAAATATCAAAAATGAATCCTGTGGCTTAAGGTTCCTAGTAATGATTGACGGCTCTGCTGTCATCACTGGCCGCTTCATAGGAACGGGATTCAGAAATTGCTGGTATATTGGGTCTCTGTTGAACTCAGGCTTCTTTAGATAAACATCCCCAATAGATCTTGACACCTGAAAATAAAAAAATAAAAAAATAAACCTTTTAGACCACATACTCCATTACATATAATTCATCTAATACTATCTCTAGAGGTACAAACAGCAAAACAGAGACACTTAACTGCAATACTTTACACTTGAAATAAGAAACCAAATATTCACAAGCTCAACAAAGTTGCATGATAGTTACATAAGCTTCATTCCTAGGTTTCTGGGGGTCTCGTGTACATCTCATGCATGGAAAACAAACACTTCTAACTAACCTGCATGAGATGCTGGATCAGGAGGTGGGGCATAAGAGTCCTGGAACATACAACTCTCTTTAGACAACTAAGAATACAAGGAACAAGTTCAATAAGTTTTTCTGAATAAAGACATGGGAAACAGATAATGCCTCGAATTCATATATCTTGCACAAAAATGTTGATCAATGAAAAAACCAATGACTTAAAACAAGAGTCTTGATTCTAAGCCTGACAAAATTATACAGCACATACATAAAAAACGGATCATCTAAAACCATACTGCTTACTCCTAGGATTGCCAATGTGCAAGTCACCTCATAAGAACTCATACTTTAGGCAGCAACAAACAACGAACGAATTGTTTCATGAAAAGAATCCGGATGTACCTGAATTATGCCCTTTATTCTCCAAACCCCACGAGTATACACCACCACATGCGCATCATCTGGATGGAGTGCTTCGACCTCCTTCCTGACCTGCTCATCTCCTACATTGTGATCAGTGGACAAGCGTTCTGCCACCACCGCACTCCTCTTACTCTCCGAAACTCTCCGGCCAAGGACTGCTCTGGAGTCCCCGAGATTGGCCACATACAAAACATCATCCGATATCGCACCCACAAGGCAACACGACCCTACCGAAGCAATTTGCGGCATCACTGGCAAAGATCGCTTCACCAGACGCAAAAACTCATCCTCAGTGGCGCTGAACGCCTTCTTAATCACATCCGGCGACAACCCACCTTGCTCCGTGGCAAATTCTACAAAACCCACATAAAATCTCAGAATCTCTAACCACAAAAGCAATCAAATTCAAGTCCTTTCACTACTCCTAAATCCAATTTTCTTATATATGCCCTTAAACCCAATTCAAAATATTCAAATTCAAGTATTTTTGCTTAAACCCCAATACAAAATTAAATCGAATAAGAAAGAAGAGTGAGACATACTGTGTAAATAAGGAAAGAGGTGGTTGTTGACGAATCTAGAAGCTTCAGGGCCGCCATGGCCGTCATAAACACCAACATAGGTCGCAGAGGGAGAGGTGAAGACCTGACCCTGATCTTCCAAATTCGAATTGGCCTGAACCACAGCGATCGAGTAGTCACCGGAGGCGTGGGGCTTCAAGTCCATGTGCCAAAGCCCATCGCCACCTCCTCCAGCACCACATCGCAATCCGAAGCAGCGCTCAAGCGGCCTGTAGCACGAGCGCAGCATTGTGTTTCACTCCCGTCTCCGATTGTGGGTTCTGCGTTTTGGATTTTTCCTGTAGTCGTTTTTTCGTGTAAAATTTGGTGGTTCGGCGACAGAAAATACAGAGAGAAAGAGAGATTGAGATTGAGAGAGAGATGATCGTAGAGGCAGAGGCAAAGTCGTGGGGAAGACGCGTGAAGAGGGAAAGCAGAGACTAGTGAATATGAACCAGCGTATGCTTCGACGAATTCTTCCTTTTATACACTCCCCTCCACCGCGTCAGAAAAATGAAAGTGCTTTTTCTTTTTCCTTATTTTTCGGTCAAAATAAAATCTCATATTTTACTCTGTCATTTACTACTCATTGCGTGGTAAAAAAACTAACATTTACAATTACACGCGAGTCACACGTATTAGTTAAATTCAAATGTTTTTATAATGTACAATAGAAAATCAACACGTTTTGATTTACAGTTCGTTTCATACTCGCTCTTTTACTAGTAAATGAATCTTGAAATTACTCGTGTATGTTCTTTGCTTTTTTTTATTTGGTATTTGATTTTGTTTCTTTTGCACAAATTTTTTGGGATTCATTTACAATGATGAGTAAGAAAATTATGATTGTGACATTTTAAGTCACTTAAATAAAAAGGGCAACTTTTTGACAAAAAATAAAAATAAAAAGGGTAACTTGATGCATGACTTGGGGCCACTTATCTTTATTCCCTAACTTTTTACCTTTAACAATTTATATTTACCTCAATCAGAATATATAATTAAAAAGGAGGTAAATTACGTTTACCGCCTCAATATAATTTATTTAAAAAATACTTTTTTGTGCGTGTTAGATTCCTTGTTCTTGATGCTGCTTATTATAATTTTAATGAACTTAAAGTATATGTATATCAACCTACACGTTGAAGCAACTCAATATGCTTTAAAATGGAGAAGAATGGAATTGACTTTAAATTTTTTGGACAAATGATAGAATATTTTTTCCAACACACGTCTCCAATTAAAGTTACGCAATAAGATATTAAACTCATCACAAATATATATATCTACATTGCATCTATTTGAGTCGAACTACAACTTATTTCGATTAAATTGATGCGACTAAGTTAGTTTCTTTATTTAAATAGTATTTTAGATTCTGCTTTCTATTCTGTTAAATAATTTGAGAGCTTAATACAAAAGTTTTTTTTTTTTTCTGGTAATGTTATGTTCAGATAAAATATAAAATTCTTTTTAACTGCAAACTGTCCTTGAATTGAAACCAAACGTCCAGTTGTAATTAATTTGAAAACCAAATTCAGGTGAAGCGTCCAGCTGTAACTTTTACTAAATCTTTATTATCTTTTAACTGGCACATATATCTTTCTTCTAACAATAATCTTATTGTTTTGGTACCAAACTTTTGAGATTGTTACCCAAAAAAAATAACATAAGGTGAATTAGACCAGACTTAACATTCAAATGGTAGGCTAACCACAATCAGTGGCACCTTGTACTGTAGCATGCACAACAGCCAATTGGCCCTCACCTTTTGTAAAAGCCCAACTTGTTGGAAAAAAAAGGTTTAGATGCACAAGAAATATAAGAAGAAAAAAATTTCTTGGGTGCGATGTGAAGTGTGACGGTGACCTTCTTCACACTATCTCACATGGTGTTGAAATTTCATTATCTAGGTATAATGAGTAGATAACACGACGTGTTAGTGTGACAGTGACATTATAAATATCAGTGGGATTTGTTCTATAGGCACAATCACTCGCCAAATCTAGGAAAAGGAAAATGGCGGTGGTTTTGTACCTCTCAAGATTAATTTTCAATGGTTAAGTTCATTGAAAAGGTTGCTTGGAAAATTAACTAAAACGAAGCTTTGTACAAAATTGTAATCAAGTTGAATCGAATTCCTTGACTAAGTCTGATGAATGTGCGTGTTGGGTTGAACTAAATTGAGAGCCAATTAAGCTCCTTAACGGTAGGGTGATGAATTGTATGCACACAGTCGTCTACGCTAGAATATATGAAGTCTTTATTCATGGGATTAGTAGGATCAATAACCCTATTGCTGTGAAATTTGATGAACAAACTTGATGATTAGCGACTTCCAAATGCTTAAACAAATGACGACGAAGATCGAGTTGAGACGAAATTTAAGATAATATAAGTAGTTAATCGCATACTAACTACGTCAAGTAAGTACCAAGTCGAACTCAAAAATTTAAGGCCATCTCAAATAGTGGGATAAATCCTCAAATTTAGCCATTTCACACCCAAAACCCAACTCCAGCAAGTGAGCTATATCTTACTTTATTATTACTTGAATGGGCCCGTTGTTGTTTTTAAATTAATGTTTTATTGGCCTAAGAGTATCCACAATAAACTTCTTAAATCACCTCCTTAGCTAAAATAATGAAAATAATGGAATACTAATTAAATAATTACTTTAATTAAGGACAAGATATTAATTAATTAATTGCAAATTATATTATATATATACTAAAGCTGATAAGAAGATACTGTTCGTAGACTGTAGCTTAGGAATAGTGAAGTGACGGTTTTGCCCTCCACTAAACCCTCCCTTTTCGGACCCCAAAAAAAAAAAATTCACCCTTTTTGTCCCGTCGACTTCCCCTTCGAGTATTAAACTAAACAAAAAAAGAACCCGCCCAGGTCGGCGCGCCCACACGGCCGATTTTTTGTTTTTGTTTTTTAGTTGGAGCAAATGACACACAGGTAAATCCGCTTCTATTAAAGATTTGTTCCCATTAATACCCAAGCATTGCGCTTCTGTTTTCAGGCTATTGTTCAATACACAAAGGTGGTCAACTCTACAGTTGAAACTGTCCATTTCATCACATCCTCAAGCCTTTGGTGCAAACCTCAGCTCTGACAGCAAATCAATCTCAAAAACAGCATGAACCCGAGCAAATCATTTCATCACATCCACAGATATATCATATTATATATATGTATATATTCTGCAGGTTCCCGGAATAAAACCCATATGAATTCAGCAACTAATTTCTTCTTGGTGTTTGAATATTTTCTGTGATATTTCTTGTGGGACTAATGGCAAACCATGCACAGAAAATTAACTGAAGTCTCTATCTGTGCATGTCATGCTTGGTTAGAATTGAAAACGAAATCCCAAAAGAACAGTTTCATACTATGATTGAACAAAACTTATTATGTGGATCGTATTTACATCAATCGAATACAAAGAGGCTCGTCAACTCTTCAGTTGAAACTGCCCATTTCATCACATCCTCACCCTTTGGAACAAGCCTCAGCCCTGACAGTACATCAATCCCACCAAAAGCACCATGTACCTGACCTGCATATGTTCTCGAATCAATCTCGCCTTTGAAGAAAAGACTGAGCAGATTGTTGGAAAACCCAGTGAGTTTAGTCCCTACATTGTGATTCTTCACAGGCCTACCAATCTCCTCAGGCTCAGCAATTGGGTTATTAAGATTCCAGAACATCAAATGTGGCACATTAAAATACCCTCTCTTTCTGTAATTATCCAAGGCCTCCTTGAAATCCCGCACCCAATTGTTCTTAGAGGCCTTCTCAAAATCCCTGTATGTGAACACAAAAATCCTTCTAGGAACCTTGGCATTACCCTCAGCGATGGCAATCTGTAGAACTTGATTGAAAATCTTTGAAAAATCCACCTGCTCAGCACACTCTATCTGTCTCATGAACTCACATTTGGACTTAAGATTGTCTCCTTCAATTTTGTGCAGCCTTGGGAAATCGCTGAACGAGAAAACAGAACCTTGCCATGGTTTTTCGCTGAGCTCCGAAACCAACAACCCCATTGAAATGCAAACCATCTCCTTCAATGTCCCTCTCTTGCTCTCCGGGAGATCACACACTGCAATACAATTCCTGAGCTTCCCTGTGTTCTGCAACTCGTGGACTAATCTCCGCCATTGAAGCTCTGCAATCTCATCATCGCAGCCGCCACATTCCTTCTCCAATGAGGCCACCACCTGGTGAGGAAGATTTAGCTGGTCACCAAAGCACATGTTGAAAATAGTTTTCTTTCGTAATAGCATGTCCACAAGCTTCATGCAAATGTCGAATGACAATTTGCTTTCATCATAGCCTCCACCAACACCACAACCAATGATCTTCCTGTAGATTTCCAAAGCAATCAGCGCCTTGCGGTTCTTGAATGATGATGATGACTTGTTGTTCTGTTTCGCAGCCGTTGAGCACTCCAATGCCTTGCGCAGGGGGCTAAGTACTTGTTTCCTCAATCGATCACGGACCCTATAAGAATAATGAGCTTCTTCAACATCTTTGTACTCTTCAAAATTATGGCGTGGAAACATTCTCTTTGCTATGTTTTCACATATCAAAGTTTCTCTGTCGTAAGACGAATCAATCGAAGGACATAATTTGGCAACAGAGCTGATTTTTTCAATCTCACCGGACTCCAAAGACAATAAATCTGATGTCAGTATTTCCACAAACACCTCGGATACAATATCGTGCAACAACCGATATTCGGGGTCGTTTTGGTACCTATCAACGGCGCTCTTCGCTCTTGCAATGCGAACTTCTCTGACATCTGTGACTGGTTTGATCTCTTCCTTCTCTTTCTCCTCCTTTTCCTTTGCTTCATCTATGCACCAATAGCGGGGCCAATAGCAATAGCTATTCCTAAGTTTTTGTCTCTCTTCCTCCTCCTTTTTTGCTTCATCTATGGGTATCTGCAAAACCCTATAAAGAATCTCCAATAGATCTTTGAACCAACCCAATTCCACAAAAACCTTGAGATTCAAGGCCAAGGTTAGAGGGTGGTTTTTGTGGAGCCACACGAGGGATTTGTAAAAGGCTTCTTTGTTGGGCCTCCCCGCCATTCTCAGGCAAAATATAAGCTTGAGAGTTGTGAGAGGATCACGGTCCCATGCCTTTGCTTCATCAGGGTTTTCTCGGGATTTACCAGAGTATATGGTGGCCTTGAAGAAGAATTCAAGGCAGGGGTTTAAGGGTGGGTTTGAAGAAAAAGTCCGGCCTTTAACCAGTGGGGGGTTTTCTTCATGGGGTTTGATGATGGTGGAAATGGGGTGGTCAAGGTGGAGCTCCGGTGGGCCCAGAAGACAAGCTGGAGGAACCATGATTAGTGTCTAGGGTGGGTAGAACGACTAGACAGTCGGATTGGATCGATGGGTTCTGGTTTTAGAAAGATTTGTGGCTTATTTATAGGATGAAATTACTTGGTCATCAAGTATATTGTATGTTATGATAACATAACCGAGCTTGGCCATCAACATCTGTTGTTTTTTTCAATTTATCCAAGCTAATTTGTAATTTATTTTACCGAAATTAATTTGTTAATTTTTTTACTGCAATTAATACGCTAAAATTGTTGCAAGTCAAAGATTTCTTTCGTTATATTTTGGTTTGTTTTCCATTCTAGTGCCAATTTTGAAACAATAAAGCCATTTAAATAACATAAACAATTAAATAATTTCTAATTAAGCCATTTAATGATAATCATAAGATTGGACGAGATAGGTCATGAGTATACATGTTAATTAAATTCAAACTAAGAGCGTCTCCAATAGTAGTAGCAAATTAAAGTTTGTTGACCTATGTGGTAATTTGAAAAGGTTTATTTGCTACTTGAATAATTTTTGCTCCAACTGACTTTTCAATTCAATTAATGCAATATTATGAAAAATATGAAAACATATGAAAAGTGTCTATGTATTTATTATACGGAAAGAAAAAATGTATGTTTTCAATATTTTCAAGGTAAGTTTTGTTTTTCCAAAGTAAAATAAATGTTTTGAAGAGCCAAATTCAACTTATCAGTCATGAAGAGAGACATACATACTAAATCGAACCCAAAAACTTAAGGGCTCATTTGATAACTGTTTTCATTTTAGTTTTTAGTTTTCATTTTTTGTGCTAGAGTATAGATAAAAATGAGAGTGAGAATGGGAGTGAGGATGAGATTGAAAAAATGAAAACTAAAAACTAAAATTGAAATGGTTATCAAACGAGACCTAAGTAATTAGATTTAGATGAAAAGTTCATATCATTGTGGAATTTGTTTTCCATTATCAATTATATGCCTGATATAAATCCACATTTCAGAATATAATGACCATTAAAATGTATTGAAAGATGTTAGCTAGCTAATGGCACAAAACCCAAAGAAAAGATTCATATTATGATCGAACAAAACTTATTACAATATGTTGATCATATTTACATCAGTCAAATATAAAGAGGCTCGTCAACTCTTCATTTGAAAGTGCCCATTCCATTACATCCTCAACCTTTGGAGCAAACCTCTGGAGCGACACAAGATCAATCCCATCAACATGTCCTTGAGCAACCCGAGCTGCATATGTTCCTGGATTCGATTCTCCGTTGCAGAAAAGACTGAGCAGAGTGTTGAAAAACCCAGTGATGATCATCCCTGCATTGTGATTCTTTACAACATGGCTACCAATGACCTCAGGCTCAGCAATTGAGCCTTTCAAATTCCAAAACACCAACCGTGGCACATATGCATACCCTCTCTTACTGTAATTCTTCACAGCCTCCCTATAATCCAGGACCCAATCATTCTTAGAGGCCTTGTCAAATTCCCTGTATGTGAACACAAAAATGCTTTTAGGCATCTTGGCATTGCTCAGCTTCTCCGTCGTGGCGATATGCAGAACTCCATTGTAAATCTTTGAAAAATCCACCTTCTCAGCACACACTATGTTCCTCATGAACTCACATCTGGACTTGAGATTGTCTCCTTTGATTTTGTGCAGCCTTGGGAAATCGCTGAATGGGAAAACAGAACCTTGCCATGGTTTTTCACTGAGGTCCGAAGCCAACAACCCCATCGAAATGCAAACCATCTCCTTCAATGACCCTCTCCTGCTCTCCGGGACATCACACACTGCAATACAATTCCTGAGCTTCCTTTTGTTCCACAACTGTTGGACTAGTCTCCGCCATTGAACCTCGGCAATCTCATCAGCACCGCACTGATCCTTCTCCAATGAGGCAACCACATGGTGAGGAAGCTTTAGCCCATCACCAAAGCACATGTTGAAAATATATTTCTTTGGTAATAGCATGTTCACGAGCTTCATGTAACACTTGAATTTCAATTTGCTTTCATCGCGGTCTCCACCATCACCACAACCAATGATCTTGCCGTAGATTTCCAAAGCAATCAGCTCCTTGCATTTCTTGAACAATGATGACTGGTTGTTCTGTTGCACATCCGGTAAGCACTCCAATGCCATGCGCAGGGGGCTAAGTACTTGTTTCCTCAATCGATCACGAACCCTATAAGCATAATGAGCTTCTTCAACATCTTTGTACTCTCCAAAATTATGGCGTGGAAACATTCTCCTTGCTATGTTTCCACATATCAAAGTTTCTCTGTCGTAAGACGAATCAATAGAAGGACAGAATTTGGAAATAGAGCTGATCTTTTCAATCTCACAGCACTTCAAAGACAATAAATCCGATGTCAGCATTTCCACAAACACCTCGGATACACGATCGTGCAAGTATCGATATTCTAAATCGTTTGATACCTATCAACCGCACTTTTAGCCCTGGCAATGTGAACATCTGTGACATCTGTGACTGTTTTGCTCTCTTCCTTCTCTCCTTCGTCTTCCTCCTCATTGCTTTCATCGTCTTCTTCCTCATCGCTGTCCTCCTCCTCATTGCTTTCGTCATCTTCCTCCTCATCGCTTTCGCATTCCTCGGAGTCAGACCAATAATTCCTTTTACTAGGTTTCTGACAATAATTCGTACGTTTCTTCCAATACTCTTTCTGGCTCTCTTCCTCCTCCTTTTCCTTGGCTTCATCTATGGATTTCTGCAAAACCCTATAGAGAATTTCCAATAGATCTTTGAACCAACCCAATTGCGCAAAAAGCTTGAGATTCAAAGCCAAGGTTAGAGGGTGGTTTTTGTGGATCCACAAGAGGGATTTGTAAAAGGCTTCTTTGTCGGGCCTCCCCACCATTCTCAGGCAAAATATGAGCTTGAGAGTTGTGAGAGGGTCATGCTTCCATGCCTCTGCTTCATATTCTGTCAGATCCTTCTGCTGCTGATACACGGGAGGGTTTTGTTGGGGTTTATCAGAGTATGTGGTGGCCTTGAAGAATTCAAGGCAGGGGTTTGAAGAAGAAGACTGGCCTTGACAGATTTTGATGGTGGTCGTGGGGTGGTAAAGTTGGAGCTCCGGTGGGCCACGAAGACATACTGGAGGAACCATGCTTAGGGTTTAGGGTGGTATAGCGAGTACTGTTGGATTGGATCGATTGGGTGAGTTATGTCGGCTGGCTTATTTATAGGATCATTGCTTGGTCATCAAGTATTGTTGTAGATTATGATAACACAACCCAGCTTGGCCATCACGATATGTTATTATTTTCAATTTATCTTAATTTGCTACTCAAGTCACTTCAAAGCCTTACGTTCTGTGGTGAAACATTGTTATATTATTAATAAAATCGACAGTCTAAATTTGCTTATTAAGGCTTCATTTGGATGGTTTAAACAAACAATTTAAATTTATTATTAAAAAATCCATATAAATTTAGATCCCTTTATATAAACAGAATTAATCGAATCTATATAGAAGGAGATTCAAATTATTTAAGTGCGAGAAGTAGGGCTCACTACCTTGACCAACCGTCTGCAATTATTTGGGTGCAAGGTACTAATAGTTATGTTCTTGTTAAATTTTTTACTACAATTTTTGTGCTAAAATTGTTGTAGGTTAAAGATCTTACGTTTCGTTTTTGGTTTGCCATTCTCCCCAATATAGCAAAATAGAAATCACTTTCCCAAGTTTATTCTTGAGTGAAAACCCATCTGTACGTGTCATCCTTCGTTAAAATGAAAAAAAAAAAAATTCAGATTCATGCTTTGATTAAACAAAGCTTATTATATCGTGTGGTTCATATTTACATCAATCCAATATAAAGAGGCTCCTCAGCTCTTCGGTTGAAACCGCCCATTGCATCACATCCTCAGCATTTGGAGCAAGCCTCAGCCCTGACAGTACATCAATCCCATCATGTACCTGTTCTACCCGAGCTGCATATGTTCTCAAATTCGTCTCGCCTTTAAAGAAAAGACTGAGCAGAGTGTTGGAAAACCCAGTGATAATTATCCCTGCATTGTGATTCTTCACAGGGCTGCCAATGACCTCAAGCGCAGCAATTGAGTCCTTAAGATTTGTTAGATTGATAGGGGATGCATCCTAATCTAATTTGCCAATCACCAACACCTACGATTTTTCACAGCAAAGTGACAATTCTGAACTTCCTCCAAATAAGATCATTGTGAGAGAAAATTATGGGTAACAAACAGATTTTCAAAAACCAAAACTAACAGCAATGGAATTGAATTGCAAAAGAAATTTGGAATTCAGCCTCTGCAGTTATGTACAGAAAATCAACCAAATGCAGGAGAAGCCAAACCATTCTTAGAAGAACAGAGCAATCAAAATCTAATGAAACATTCATCATTCTATGTCAAGGAACATAAACATGTTTCCATCAATCAAATACAAGAAGGTTATCGAATTCTGGTCCTGAAATTGCACATTTCATCACATCCTCTGCTCTAGGAATGCATTTCTGTACATCAATACCATAAGGTGCTTGGATCTGATGAGCTGCGTATGGTCTTGAATCTGACTCTCCAGTCAAGAACATAGTGAGCATATTGTTTGAAAACCCAGTTAAAATAAGACCTACTTTCTGGTTCTCCTTCAATGGGCAATTAATAACCTCTGGCTCACGCATGCCACCCTTAAGATTCCAAAAAACCATATCTGGCAGAGTCTGATACCCTCTTCTTCTGTAATTCTTCAAAGCCTCTTTATAATTGTCCCGCCAATCGCATTTGAAGGCTTTCTGAAAATCCCTGTTGGTGAACACAAAAATCCTCTTGGGCATCTTTTCAGGGCTTAGATTTTGTGAGGTTGCAGTGTCCAAGATTTGGTTGTAAACTGCTAAGAAGTCCAATTTCACAGAACACACTGTCTGCCTCATGAACTCGCACTTGGACTGAAGATTTATCTGCCTCATGAACTCGCACTTGGACTGAAGATTTTCTCCTTCGATCTTGGAAAGCTTGGGAGAAAGGCTAAAGGGAAAAACCATTCCATTCCATGGATTTTCACTCAGTTCTGAAATCAATAACCCCATGCCAATGCAAACCATATCCTCGTATGTCTCTCTCATGCTCTCTTGGATGTCACATACGGCAAGACAATTCCTCAGCTTCCCTTTGTTTGAAAAATCTTGGACTAGTGTCTGCCATTCAAGCTCTGATCTTTCATTATGTTCCTTGTTCATGTACAAGAAAGGAAATACTATTTGGTGTGGAAGTTTTAGCCCATCACCAATGCTTACCCCGAAAAATTCAACAACGTTTATATAAAGCTTAAATTGAGATTTGCTTCCATTTTCGCCCCCATTTTCCATCAAATACAATGTGCTTTCATATTCTCTCTCATTGCTTAGGATCCTCCTGTATCTTCTCAAACCAGCCAGGGCCTTAGGGTTTTGGGATAATAGCTGTGGTACAGTAGGAACATATCTGATCTTCCTTGATGATGATGATGATTCTAGCACTTTGCGCAGAGGAACAAGTACTTGTTTCCTCAAACGATCACGAACCCTGTAAGCGTAATGAGCTTCTTCAAGCTCACTGTACTCTTCATAGTCATGGCGTGGGAAAATTCTCTTTGCTATGTTTTCACACAGCAGGGTTGCTCTGTCATAACCAGAATTAACTGAAGGACAAAATTTGTAAGCAAAACTGATTTTTTCGATCTCACCAGACTCCAGAAACCTGAGATCCGACGTCAAAAAATGTGCAAACATCTCCGAGATTCGATCATGCAAGTTTCGATAATCCAGGTCACTTTGGTACCTCTCGACCGCCATTTTAGCCCTGCCAATGCGAGTATCTGTGGCCGTTATCTCTTCTCTGTTCTTCTCCTCAACCCCAGTTTCTTCCTTGTACGGATAACTCTGATAAAAGTCATCTTCGTCAGAATCATAATATGCACAGTCATAATTGATTATTCCATTCTTCTTTGATTTTGCTTTTGCTTCTGCTTCCTTTATCGGGTCTTCCAAAACAAAATAGAGAAACCCCAATAGATCTTTGAACCAACCTTTACCCCCCAAAGCCATGACATTCAAAGACAGGGTTAAAGGGTGGTTTTTGTGCACCCACAACAAGGCTCTGTAGAACCCATCTGTGTCAAGCCTCTCCACCATTCGAAGAGCAAATATGAGCTTGAAAGTGGTGAGAGGGTCAAACTTCCATGCCTCTTCTTCATAATGAATCAGATCCCGCTGGATCCCCCCGAAGTACCAGTACTCGGGAGGGGTCTTTTTCCGGGTGTGATCAGCAGTGTATCGGCTGGCTCTGAAGAAAAATGTAATGCACGGGTTTGAGGTTGGGTGTGAAGAAGACTGCCTAGATTGGCCTCTACCCATTGAAGGGGCTGGTTCATAGGTTGTCTTAAGCGTAAGGTCGAAGATGTCCGGGAAGGGGTTAGGCCGGCGGAGAGCCGATGGGCCCAGAAGAGAATCTTGAGCAGGAGCCGCCATAGTTGGGTATGGAGGGAGAGATGCACGGTTTAGGGTTTTGAAAGAATTGGAGAATGCTGGGAAGATCTGTTGCGGCAGAGAGAGATATTAGATTTGTTTGTGGCTAATTTATAGGATGAAATTACTTGGGCATCAAGTCTTAGTGGAGGTGATAAAGTGACTGATCTTGGCCAAAAGTTGCTTTTTTCCTTTATTTATTGGATTTTCTTTTGCAAAATTAAATGAGATTTTCTATTTAAATCTCTCACTTCTCTTTGTTCACTCCAATACTTAAATCATTAAGTTGTAAGTTTTATTACAGTATAAAAAGACAAAAAAAGTCATTCAACTTAATACTTAACTCTAATACATCTATTCACACACCCTACCACTCTACATATTAAGTTTCAGAAAAATGCAAATTCCTCACCAGTCTTGATATCCTTGAGATCCGATGCATTGAAGCACCATGTGCGGCTAGACGATTAGGTTCCACAACTATAGAAGATTCTTTCCAAGGCTTGAAGAGAAAGATCAGTTGTGACAAAATCTCATGTATACTACAAATACTTTTGCTTCAAACTGATGCTTAGCACAAGAAGAAAATCTCATGTATTTTTGCTTCAAACTGTTGCCTTCAAACCCTCCTTAAACTAATGCCTAGCACGTACTTTTGCTTCAAACTTTCACCCCAAACAAAATCTCTGTATACTACAAACATTGTTTAATGATTTAAATATTGGGGTGAACAAAGAAAATTGTGGAATTTAAATAAAAAATCTTTTTTAATTTTTTTAAATTATAGCTTGGGGTGTATTTAAGGGTAGTTTGGGAAGATACTGAGATTTTCTTAGAAATTGTGAAAATTAAAATTAAAATTGGGATAAACTTAGAACATGAAGTGAACAAAGAAAAGTGTGGGGTTTAAATAAAAAAATATCAATTAAATTTGCAGACCCTTGTCCAATCTCCCCTTGAGGAACCGAACCAGAGGAGGAGAGAGAGAGAGAGAGAGAGAGATTCGCTGAGTGGACCAGATCTGGCCATGTGGCGGCAGCGGAGATAGAAAGAGAGAGGAAAGGTACAAAGGGCGTTGAAAGAGAGAGTGACGGCTGAAGAAGAGAGAATAAATAGGCGATGTAAGGTTCTCATCTAAGTTCACTACATTTTTTACTACTAAAATCAAACTCTTTTCAAATTCTATTTAAAACTAGCTGACCTTTACATCCTTTGCAAGGCTTCATCAGTTTTTTAAGAAGTTCAGGGAAGATGTAAAATCTAGCTTACCTTCACCTGCTTTACAACTATTGTAAATTAAGTTACAAAACATGGATTGAAAGTATACACCAAGTATGCAAGACAAAACACAACAACGATTCGTTGCATCTAATGAGAAAGCATCACCATAATTTGGTGGTCAAGTTCCAAAACTTTTCCTGCAAATGAGCACCCAAGCAATAAATCATCTCAACAGAAACTATGTGGTCCTTTTATCAGTGTGACTATTTACAACTATAACTCTTCGGCAATATGGGCAGTCCCCTCGAATTCGAACCCAGGGACCCAAGCAGACAGCATGGAATCTATGCGCACAAGGCAAGTTTATAAGCTCATCTCCATCCAGGAAACTCTCCAGGCAGATACTACAATCTCGGGATGCTCTTAAAACCAACCCGTCAACGTCCATTTCTGAGCTGCTGAAAAGCTCAGGGCTCAGACAATCAAGGACCTCTTGAGTGAGACCCGGAGGCTTCTTGTTTGCTTCTTGCAAGAGTTGCTGCCTTTCAATTTGGGAGCCCAAGTTAGTGGAAGGATAGACACCAGCTGACCGACTAGTCAAAATTTCAGTACCCCAATCCCTTACATCAAGGGGACTTGATTCATCACCATGCACTAGCCCACTTCCGTAAACGTTCAATGCTCTACGATGCCTAAATAAAGCCAAACAGAACAAGGTAATTTCATCAGAGTCAACACTAAGAGGCGGGTTTTTTAAATTTAGGCAAGTATTTTGCTATCATCTCTACATGGGTGCTTAACCAATTGATGGATACTGAGTTACACGCCAAACAATAGATCATAATGCTCGGCTTAGACAGGGGCTGACAATCGTCAATTGGTTAATTGGTGTGCATCCCATAACCAATTGGTAACTGGTGGAGAGTTCTCACAATTTTATATATTGAGATCATGCAACGCTCAGAATATCTAAGCACGGTAAAATTCCACAGCAAGATTCATTGTGAAGTCTAGTCTTAATCTCCCAATTAACTTGAGTGTTACCAATAAATGGGCAATAATTTGCAGCCAGCATCCAAATTTCAGCTCCTAAGTACATGTATAATCCATTAGAATTGCTAGTATGCTATTGTAATTGCTAAACAAAAACAAAGCTAGCTAATTTCCTCAAAAGAAGTACAATTTAGAGGCATTAACATGCAGAGCAGCAGAAACTGACCTGGTTTGTGAAGGAGGCATCCCTCTCAGCCTCTCAAGAAGCCTTTCCCTAGCGAGCAAAACAGACCCAGGAAGCCTCTCGTTCCCGCTCAACCCGGGACTGCTAGCACCGACCCCATTTCCCGAACCCGAGTGGGCCCCACCTTGCTCAGCCCCAATTGCGGCTCGCTCCTGACCAACCAAACCCAAAAGCGCACGGATTTAAGAAATTACGAAATTCAATTGCAGAATTTGAAATTTAAAAGAAAGAAAAAAGTTACCGGAAGGGAGGATCGGTGGCGGAGATGGCGAGGGGTTCGGCGGAGGAGAGGATCGCAGCCGTCGGATTCATGATGGTGATTGTGATGGCGACGGTTGTAATTGTGGTTTCGATCGGGAAGAGGAGGAGGGAGAGAATCGAGCCCCAGATCGTGGGTGGCGGTTCGGCTGTTGTAGCGAGACCTCCGGTTGTAGAAAAGCTCCGATGCGCTCGTCATGCACACACACACACACACCAATCAGCGTTTTTTAACCTCACGCTCCTAGAAACGCTTCTTGTTTCTGTCTGATGTTGATGGATTGACAGTGTTTTTTTGCAGAAACGGTTGGGGAAGAAGAAGGAACGGTACGCAAAACTCTCCACCTTAAAAACGCGGTAGATGAAGACTGAAGAGCATTTTATAATAATGTTGTTTATTTATTGGTTGGAAATGGCTTGTTTTTTGTGGCTTTTTTGGTACGTTTTTACTGATTTGGAAAGGATCGGATTGAGATGAGGACGCGTGTCAATGAGAGAAGAAATTTCGTGGATTTTAGGCGTTGGATTCAGATTATATTTATTGCGTTTTTTGGTCAAAGATATTCATTGCGTTTTTTATATTTTTGGGTAAAGTTATTTATCGCGTTTAACCAGTATTTATCGGAGAAAATATCTTTGATGAGATGGATTGGATTGAATTGGATAGTGACTTGAAAATAGACATCCATCCAGCTTTTGCTTTTTTCTTTGAACAAAAAAAGAGCTTTTGCTTTTTCTTGTTAAAGTAAAAAAGGAGAAAGTTGATGTTAGGCCCAGAACACAAACGCTGTGGATACAAACAAGCAAGCCAGCCACTTTGTCCCCAACAACAAAAGAAGCAAGCCAACCTCTCTAACCAACTTGAAAAAGAAAAACTTGCCTATACATGTTTCATTGATGACGTGTCTTACGCGGTCATGAAACGTGCATTGGCGAGTTTTTCTCCCACAATATGGCTTCAATTTTTGATCAAAAAAAAATAAAAAATTTACAACTTCATACATGGTCGTGAATATATAGATTAAAATGTATGTTGTCAAAGGGATCATATTTTTAGATCAGATTCGATGATCGTATAATAAAACAGTTGATTTATATACTTATTACATCAATTATTTAATTAACGAACTATTCGTGTTACTATATTGTAAACATGTTAGTCAAATATTGCAAATATTGCATGAACTGGGGAATATTGTACTCGTGTACGTAGCCATGCATGTGTACATACATATCCAAAGAGTACAATTTATACAAGGGCTAGCTTAGTATATATTATATATATGATATTGTTCGTAAGGGCACCGATCTTATTTAAACAGTAAGTCCGGCCACAGTATACAATTAGGCCATATGACTAAACCCTTTCTAATAATATTATAGATACTTCAGTTTTATAGATATAGTGATGCTTGAATATTTTTTCTCAAATGATCTCACATATGCATGTACTGATAGTAATGATCCGGAAAAGTGTCCGGGTCGGGTTTCTCCAGTACTCCGTCGACGTTCCGGAGCCAGAAAGTCTTGTTGAGAGAAGCAGCTTCCTTGGGGACATCATCCATCACCCCTTCATGCCCTTTGGGAACATATATTCCTGTTGTTGGATGTGGAACCCAGTTGCACCTCCATGATGGGCTGCCACTACCAGTCTCCTCACTGTCACTCTCATTTCTGCTTGAAATTTTCTCTGCAGCTCCCTTCATCTTGCTGAATTGACGTCGATGATCCACTCTCTTAGCTTCCCTGCAGTATGAACTGTCGCACATGCATATCATTATGCCCCCAAAACTAAATAATTTATCATTCATCATTTCTCTCATATCATCAATACCATCATACGTAAGTGCATCACTATAAAATCCGAGTGATCGATCCTTATCATGATTAAATTATTTATTTTCCATATTGCACCCCTAGCATATTTCGTACATATAAAAAAATTGAAATTACAAAGAAAAGCCGCGAGGGCATCGTCCTCCAGAAATCAAATTGAACTAGATTTGAAACACTCACATAAATTATAGTTTCATTTCCCTATATTTGAATTCACATGTATAAAAACATTACCTAACCAGAAATATCTTTGATTTTGCCACCCCGCTGCATCTTGTCATGTCCCTCAGCAATCACCTAGCTATTATCACAAATTTGTATATGCAAAGGCTTATGCCTGTATGCATGCGATATATATAAAAGAGACGGAGGAATATGTTCTATATGGTGAAGGTTTATGCAGCGGAGGGCATTCAAAGAAGAGAATTGGGTGCCAAGAAACTGTATGGCT